GGTTCGAACCGGGATAGGGTATCCCTTCCTTCGACTTCAGAACTTGATATCTTTACCGTCCGGACCCCAAATCAAGTGATTCTTGAGTCTATCTTTATTAATTTTTCATTGTCTTTCCAATGGTGTGCACAGTGGCACCCATTTTATTATGGAATGACCATTTTGCCCCCCCTAGGTTCATTCTTTTCCGTTTTTTAAACGTTGCTTCCGCATTTTCTTCCTTTGGATTTCGTGACCTCGTCGAGGGTCACATTGGTGTCTTAGAGGAGTGTTGTATCTCTAAAGACCATTGTTCTATCTTTTGCTTCCACATTTTAGATCCGTTTTGGGTCATCACAGGACACACTGGGTTGAAAAATCTAGGGTCGTCACAGTTAGGGATCGTATATGCAGTAGGATGCGTAGCTGGCTATGTAGGTTGAGATATATCCTGTTAGGCTTAGGTAGTCATGCCCACTCAGGTGCGTTTTGCATGTTGCCTTCTATTCAGGTTGAGACCCTCTACATAGTCCAGTGAGAGTCCTGTAGTGTGGATATATATATTTATTTATGGACTTTATAACTATTGTTGAGTTGGTTAGGATGTACATGCGTATTAAGTCACTGCTTGGATTGTAGTGGGATAGAACTTGTTCGTGGGCCAGACCCACTTCTATTTTTCAGGTGTTCGGCAGTTCTAGTCGTAGGTTTGATCGTGCTGAGCAGAGAATATCACTCACTCTTCCGACAATATAAGACTTCTCTCCATGGTTTACTTTAGATGTTCTCCTAGTGGTGTCATTTCAGTTTGGTTTTATTTAGGGGTCCATTAGAGATGGATTCCCGAGTTGTTAATTGTTGGAGGTTTTATGGAGGATTGGATTTTTGGATTTTAATTTTATTTATTCAAGGATTTTTAAACTTAGATTTCTTTCGATTCTTAATTATTTATTTCTTATTTCATTTTTGTATTCCGTGTTCGTTTTAAATATTAATTATTTGATATTTCCTCGGGTTTGGGCTTGGACCTGATCAACCCATGTCTCGAATCCGAGGGGTATCACAGCTGTTGAACCGAATCCCGCTCGTTAAGATTCTGCTTATCATTAATAACTACTTCAAATATCGTCGTCAACTAAATGTCGTCATCTCTATCACAGACCCGTGATCATACGGAAGTTAAAGAGATCTGGCGGCTGGTCAACACTTGGTTACTTCTATTATTAGGTCAAAGTAGGTTTTATTTTACCCTATCAAACATTATTTATTATTACTATTAGACAAATAAATAAATTAATTAATTAATTAAAAAACTGATCTATTGGTTAGTTACAAGATTGCCCCTGAAGGGTATTATGGGTGTTGTACATTTATGATATTTTTTAACTTTTATATAAATTAATAAGTGGGGGTATTTTTGTAATTTTAACCCTCTAGACCCATTTTCCTCCTCCCCTACTGTTGTCATCCTCCTCCACCTCTGCCTCCGGTGCAGTTGTTTCATCCTTTGCCTTCGATGCCGTCTCTATTATACGTCGCCGCCGCCGATCACGAACATTGGTACCTTCTAAAATAAGACGATGTTGGCCTCTAATTGTGTGTTGGAAAAAGGGGGGAAAAAAAAAATTGATGCAGAGAGAGAGGTTTGTTTGGTTGTGATTATTTTATTTTATTTTAGGGTTAAAAGGGCAAAAAAAAAACCTCATAATATACAAAATGTGCATTACCCTCTATTGTTAAAAATACTTTTCTATTTTTTTTTCAATTTGTGCAAGTAAGGTCAAATCATAATTTTGACAGTAAAAAAAGGAAGAAAAAGGCAAAATGTCAAAATCTTTAAAGTCATATATGATTTTCCACCACTTCTGCCATAACATAACAATACTTTATATATATATATATATATATATATATATATATATATATATATATATATTTGTATACATTGTCTTTCTCTTCAATCTCAATTTTCATGTCTCAAAATCTTCCCTGGTACCCATCAACCTTATTAAAGACTATTTATAAGAGATTGAGCACTCCTTAACTAAGGAATGACATGTTGTATTTGTGCACACCTTAACTAAGGAATGACATATTGTATTAGTGCACAAAGATAAAATTTAAAGAAGGAATATGCAAGTGTAATTTGTAGATAAAAAACAAACAAGTCCACACAAATGAAAGGAAAATACTCATAATATCCAAACTTCCTAATATTGCTTTGACGGCCTATCCTGAATACAATAAGTAATTTTCTATCTAATTTTCCCTTTATTTTCATATATCCATTTTTTATGATTTCTATCTATTTATACTGAAAATTTGTAATTGGTTCTCTAATTTTTTCTCTTGATCTTTTTGAAGAGATTGGAATTAGATTGCTGATTTTTTTGAGTGGGTCAAGCAACGTTTCCTAGGTTGTGCTCTCTGCTCATATTATGAAATTTTTTAGGGCTTGCTAATTCTGAGTGCTCTGTTTTAATGAGAAATAAAAAAATAAAAAAATAAAATAGATGGAGAGATGCTATATACACCACATAAATTTTAGAGAGAGAAAAAATTTAGAGAAAGAGATTTTATATTTTCTTACAGAAGGGTAGTTCCAGTAGTGGAAGGAAAATATATAGAAGTTATAGAATTAGAAAAGAATATTTGCAAGGAAGTTTTATATATATATATATATATATATATATATATATTGAAATAAATAATGTTCTAAAAAATAAATAATAAAATGAGGTCTTCTTGGTAACTGATATTAGGCAAAGATTTCTTTGGATAGGTCTTCAAGTATATCCAAACAAACCTATTAATTGATCAAATATATACAAAATTGGTAGTGACATTCTTGTTACACAAACATGGTACTTTTGGATTTTTAGAAAAATAAAAAATAAATAAATAAATAATGACATCACCAACTACTATTTTTTAACATATTTATTCAATAGGATGTAATTTGCTCAAAAGATAAATAATACAGCGAGTTATATGCACTTTTTTCTAATAGGGATGTTTTTTGCACTTTTTTTTTTTTTATATGGCAGGAAAGAGGGGCTAAATGTTTTTAGGGTTTGATAAGATCTTTAGATTCAAGAATGGACGGTCATGATTAAGATATACATAGTAATTTTTTTTAAAAGGATCAATTATGGTTGATAGGTGTAATACGCAAGTAGGAAAGATTTTTTAAAAAAATAACAATAAAAATAATAACAACAGTCAATCAATCCAATTAATCCGCCCAATCTGAAAAATATTCAAATTCGGGTCATAGGCTTTAATTTTTTTTATTGTACTTATATCATCCTTATTATATTTTTTTATAAGATTTCAATAGTAAGTAATACGCTGCCTTTCTTATACTAAAAAATGTCAATAATTTATACATATTCTGGCTTTGCAATGCTATCTTTAATTTTTAAAAAAAATTAAGTTCAAACTAGAAATTAGGCCGACTGATGGTTGTTTTTGAAAAAAAAGAAAAGAAAAAAGAGTTGCCCTGGATAACCCACCTGTGAATATTTGGGTTGCAACTCACGGGTTAAAACTCGGATTTGTACTACCTCGGGCTGGCCCAACCCAATACAAAGTCGGGTTTGGGTTGGGCTGGGCTGGGCTGGGCTGGGCGTACATTAAATTGTAAGGGTAATTTGCACACACACCCTTCCAAGTTTGTAATAAAGACAGGTAAATACAACTTAGGAAGAGTGTGATTTAATTGCCCCAAGGTTTGTAAACTTGAACAACAATCATGATAAGAGTACGTAATTATCCTTTGACTTCTGAATTGACTCATTTAAATCGTACAATATTAGCATTTATAAGCTCTTTTATTTGATCAAAATGACCCTTAGCAAAAAGCCAAAAAAAAAAAAAAAATCGAACTCCACCAGTATGGTTGCCAATAATTTTTAATTTCGGCGCGGGGGGGGTTGGGGATTTTAAAATAATATAAAATCATTGTGAGAAAAAAAAATTGTATATTTAATACTCTCGGTGAAATAGATGAATTAGTTATATTGAATATCTAAACAAAATTCTACTTTCTATCACAAAAAGTAAGAAATATAATTATTTTTTTTATTATTTTATCACCAAAATTTTATTTTTTCTAATTTCAATTCCATGAGAAGGAATTCTGAAAAGTGGTCTCTGTACCTTTTTATTATTATCATCCATATCACTTAGCCTTTTTATCAAAATAAACCTCCTCTGACATTCAATTTTTAAAGTCAATTCTTATTGCTTCATATAACTGTTTTAAAAAGGAAAATAATTTTTTATTGGTTCATATAAACGAAATATAATTGACGATTTTGTTTAAAGACAAAATTCAGGAATTGTCAATCGATTGAGCTAATATTAGTAATACTTTTTTATTTTTGAGCAGGACCCAGAGTTCACCCTAGATCCACCCTTTTGTTAAACAGATTAGTGAGAATTAATGAATGAAATAAATATTTAAAAAAGTTATTGTTATTTTAAAAATTAACAAAAATTCTTGTTAGACTCTATTTACAAAAATGATGTATATTTTTGTACTAGCATTCTTATGAAAAATTGGGGCCATCTGGACTCATTCCTTGATACGACCATGGTTCCTTGATCCACTTATTCTAATTTTTGAGGTTCTTATGCAATTCATAGTTTATTTTGTGTAATCTGTTGCGCTATAGACCACTTCTAATTTTTATATAAAAAGCCCAACAGACTCGCTGTATCATATACAAGTAAAAAATAAAAATAAAACCACTGGACAGATAAAACCTTGGGTTCGTTTATTATGAACTAGTTAAGTGTTTGGTAATAACCACCTAATTTTTCTATAATTTTTTTTCTTTATGATAAGTTACATACTATTTAAATCATAAAATAATAATTTTACAAGATTTTTTAATAAAATTTTTATACTAATCAAGTTGAGATTGGAAACTTATTTTTTTTTAATTTACTTTATTTCTTCTAGTACTTTTACTTTCCATAATTAGTTTCCGTCTATCCAAACCGCCTCTCGGTGAAATATAAATTGAAGTGTGGAAAAAGGAAAGGAAAAGAAACCCTAGCAAACGTAAAGGCCGAAACGTAAAAAGCCCTAGCTCAGAGACGGGCTTGTGAGCGATTGCAACCTTCGGCGAGGTCCACCAGCTCCGGCAACCTCCAGTTTCTCTTCCGGCAACACAAACCTCTCTTTTTTCGAGATCAATCTCTTATTGACCCAAAGGTGTGTTTCGAAACATCAAAAAAATTATCTCATTCGATCTTTTCTTCTTGATATCTCAATTTATCTTCTTTTTATTTTTCAAAACAGTTAAACAGAAAAAATATTGTTGTTTTACGTTCACGCCCTTTCAATTTTGATTGGGGTTTTGGATTGTTATATGACTTTTGATCATCTGGGTGTGATATTGGACATCATGATGATACCTTGGTCGTTGCGCAACGGTGAATGTGAATTTTGACTAATTTGCATCATGGATTCAAGGAATGGATTCTAATAAATCGTTAAAAAAAATTCTCAGAGTGTTGCTTAATTACAGATTTCAGTCAAGTTTTTATTTTTAACCTAATTCAGAGATTAATGAGGTTATCGTGAGCTGCTGATATGGATTTGGGTGTGAGCTGTGAGAGGTAGAGCATCTTTGAAATCGGTAATGTTGAATTATGCTAGAGAACTTATTTTTTAATTCAAAACGATTTTAAAAATTAGGATTTCCCAGTCATGTTTTCTGATTTAAATTCCTTATGCCCTTTAAGGGCTTTCTTAGTGAATGACTTGAGATTGGTTGGTTTTCGTTGTAACTCAACTAGATGTTAAGGATGTTAAGAAGCCTCTGCATACACTGCCTAAATTTACATTTATGCTATGTTCAATTACTTGGGATTGGAGGAGACAAAATTTAAACTTTTACTAATTTTTTTCCAATTCCAAGGCACCAGTTCCATGCAATCTTACTAATTCTGAGGCCTGCCCCTTTTTCCTCTTTCCTAAATTATTTTGCTATAAAAATTTATTCTGTTCTACTACTGTTTATTGGACTATATTTCATGTGACAACTACTATTCATGCTTATGTTGAATATGTTCATATGCAGCATTTAGTTAAGTAAATCCATTTGTAAATTTATATACTATAGCTTTGCACTGTAATTAGGCTCCATCTCTTTTTCGTTTGCAAGTCTCTGAAGTAATTCTTTTTGAATTGATTCATTTTTAGTCCATAGTCCATACATTCTTTGTATCTCTCTCTGTCGAAGTCTATGATTTACTATTCTGATTATTTCTCACTTGCATGCTTTGATTCCTCATTGCAGCTCCACATTCTGTTTTGAAGTTGCTGCCACGGATTAGTCAGTTTGTACTTGTACATACAATCTTGACATTTCGTTTATCAAGTAATCAGTTTGCTTTTCATTTTCAGTGCCTTGCTCTAGTTATTTAATATTTAGATCTAGAGGAGCTTAGAAATCCTTTAATGTTAACAGAAATTCTATTCATACCAGATTTGCTTCTGTAATGGGAAAGAAGAAAATAGAAGAGACTGGTGCAGCCATGAAGGTTAAGCCGGGTAGTAAAGATGGCCTTAAAGATCAAAAGAAAGAGAAACTTTCAGTTTCAGCCATGCTTGCTAGCATGGATCAGAAAACAGAGAAACCCAAGAAAGGATCCTCCTCCTCAAGCGCTGCTTCCGGTAAGCCCAAGGCAAAAGCAGCTCCAAAACCATCATACACTGATGGCATTGATCTCCCACCATCTGATGATGATGATGATGATGATGATGTGTATGCTTCTCAAGAAGAGCAACAAGAAGATGGAGTCTTCAGACGACCTAACCAGCAACAGAGGTCAGAAATAAGGCCAATTGGGATCTCTATGGCCAATAAAGAGTTGAAGAAACGGGAGAAGAAAGACTTGCTTGCTGCCCATGCTGTTGAGCAAGCCAAGCAGCAGGCTCTCAAGGATGACCATGATGCTTTCACTGTAGTAATTGGTAGCCGTGCCGCTGTTCTTGATGGTGAAGATGAAGCTGATGCTAATGTCAAGGATATAACAATAGATAATTTCTCTGTGTCAGCTCGTGGAAAGGAGCTCATGAAGAATGCGTCTGTAAAGATATCACATGGGAAGAGGTACGGTTTGGTTGGGCCCAATGGGATGGGCAAGTCTACACTGTTGAAGCTCCTTGCATGGAGGAAGATCCCAGTGCCTAGGAATATTGATGTACTTTTAGTTGAACAAGAGGTGATTGGTGATGATAAAACTGCCCTTGAAGCAGTTGTTTCAGCGAATGAAGAACTTGTAAAACTTCGAGCAGAGGTCGCTGCCCTGCAGAATTCATCTTCTGTGACGGGGTTTGATAACAAAGATGATGATGATGGGGATGATGCAGGAGAGAAGCTTGCTGAATTGTATGAGAGAATGCAGATAATGGGGTCAGATGCTGCTGAGTCTCAGGCATCAAAAATTCTGGCTGGGTTGGGATTCACTAAGGATATGCAAAGCCGACCTACTAGGTCATTTAGTGGTGGTTGGAGGATGAGAATATCATTGGCCAGGGCGCTTTTTGTGCAACCAACTCTTTTATTGCTGGATGAACCTACCAACCATCTTGACCTTCGGGCTGTCCTCTGGTTGGAGGAGTACTTGTGCCGCTGGAAGAAAACTCTTGTTGTTGTTTCACATGATCGGGATTTTCTCAACACTGTCTGTGTTGAGATCATACATCTCCATGATTTGAAACTGCACTTCTACCGTGGCAATTTTGATGATTTTGAAAGTGGGTATGAGCAGCGTCGCAAAGAGATGAACAAGAAGTTCGAGATTTATGACAAGCAACTGAAAGCTGCCAAGAGAACAGGGAATCGCGCTCAGCAGGAAAAGGTCAAGGATAGGGCAAAGTTTGCAGCTGCCAAGGAAGCATCAAAGAGCAAGGCAAAGGGCAAAGTTGACGAGGATGAGAACCTACCAGAGGCTCCGAAGAAGTGGAAAGATTACAGTGTGGAATTTCACTTCCCTGAACCTACTGAGCTTACGCCACCCCTTTTGCAACTCATAGAAGTCAGCTTCAGTTATCCGAATCGAGCGGATTTCAGGCTGTCTGATGTTGATGTGGGCATTGATATGGGGACTCGTGTTGCTATTATTGGGCCTAATGGAGCTGGGAAATCTACTCTGCTCAATCTTCTTGCTGGTGATTTGGTTCCAACTGAGGGTGAAGTACGCAGGAGTCAAAAGTTGAGGATTGGAAGGTATTCACAGCACTTTGTGGACCTTTTAACGATGGAGGAAACACCAGTTCAGTATCTTCTTCGTCTTCATCCAGAGCAAGAGGGACTTAGCAAGCAGGAGGCTGTCCGTGCAAAACTCGGGAAATTTGGACTCCCAAGCCATAACCACCTCACCCCTATTGCAAAATTATCGGGAGGGCAGAAATCCCGGGTTGTTTTCACTTCAATTTCCATGTCAAAGCCGCATATTCTTCTTTTGGATGAGCCGACAAATCACTTGGACATGCAGAGCATTGATGCACTGGCTGATGCACTTGATGAATTCACTGGCGGAGTTGTCCTGGTTAGTCATGATTCTAGGCTGATATCACGAGTATGTGACGATGAAGAGAGGAGTGAAATTTGGGTGGTAGAAAATGGAACTGTGAGTTCTTTCCCTGGGACATTTGAAGAGTACAAAGAAGAACTGCAAAAAGAGATAAGGGCAGAGGTTGACGATTGATATGGCTTTCATAACAGGTATTCATTTCTTCGATGACAAAATAAGCTCTTCCATCCACTTGAAGATCATACAAGGCAGATTTTGTTTTCTAAGCTATTTGAGTGTATTTTATGTGTTCGAAATAATAAAAATTCGATGGTTCCATACTTTGTATACAATTTTTAATCTTCTTCGCTTCTTTGTTTCCAGTTTGTTACCAGTTAAAGATGTGGTTTTATTGCTAGAATATAAATTCATTTTCTTCTGCATCTGAAATCCCTTTCCACAACTGGTTCAATAGTTTTTATCATTTTTCTCTAATTTAGTACTGCAGCCCGTCAATGATATCCTTTACTTTGTAATTTAGATCATCATTGGAATGTGGAGATCTATGGATTTACTGACTTTTATTATAAAATTAATTTTTTTATTACCTCCCTTAATTTTTTTCCTTTATGCAATTTATCACTGATGTTTAACATGAAATTTTTTTACATCCAATTTATTGGAGTATTTCAAATTACAATATAAAGGAAAAGTAAACATAATAGCTCCTTTACGGTTAATTCATGCCCTTGATTGTGATCAGCGGCCATTTTCATCAGTAGTTCATAAATTATCGTGAAAGTAGTTACTAATAAATTATCGCCAGAGTTGAGTTACTCATTCACGGTTAAGTTTCTTGCTATATATAAAATCACCCAATTTTTGTCGAAGCATACCATTACTACCTCCACTTGCGCAAAAGAAACCCACCCTTCGCTCAAAACAACTTTGACCGTGAAAGATCAACTCCTAGAACACTCTTTAGATGCAATAGTATTATTGAGCAAGAATTCGAGGGGTGGCAATTCGTGTTGACGAGTCGTGTTGACACACACGATTAGAGTCGACATGAACACGACTATTAATCGTGTTAAGATCCGTTGACACGAACACGACACGATTATTATACGTGTTAATAAGTAGGTCAAGACTTGACACGACACGACACTTTTATCTGACAAATTTAGTTAATTGAGTTAATCAATAAACATGTTTAGTTATGCGGATTAATCGTGCCATAATTGTGTTAGCAGGATCAAACACGAACAAGACACGTTTAGTTAACGGGTCAATCCGTGTCAACACGATTACGATACAAACACGATGATTCCAAACCCAAACCATTTTATCTCATGTTAGTGTTCGTGTCGCCTAAAGAATTCTCAAAGATATTAAAAGCCAGTTCCATTTCCACAGCGCACCAACCCAACATCTACGGTACAATTTCATCGAACAAAGCTCAGCCACGGAATCCGGAATGACCTATTTTCAACACAGCTCCAATAAACCCCAAGAGTAGTTTATTTTTGGCAAGCAACAGAAATATCATTGAGAAAAATGAAGTAGGAGCATTGCTTTAAGAGGACTATCATTACACAACATCAATGCTAAAAGGAGATTCTTAGATCTTTTAACAGCTGAAACAAGCCTCAAGGAAGAACTCCAAAGCTATAATGATACTTTCTCAAAGCAAACCCAGTATCAACCACGACTACTTGGTCACACAACATTCAACAGCTGAAGCAAGTCTCAAGGAAAAACCCCAAATCTAATATACTTTTCTCAAGCACCAAACATCACCACCACAAGAGTTGTCAAAAATCAAACCCACCTGTCCCCTACAGTGAGTCATGGCAAAAATATGGAACCATTAACACAGGTAACGCAAAAAGATAATTCACTTGTTCCAATTTATGAAATGGTAAATGCAATAAAATATTATTTCATTCACCTTCAAGGGTTAACTTGGTTAGAAAAGACTTGAGCCCTGGTACTCATGAAACATTAAAGGTCTCTTGATCGATTCTTGCTTGGAAGTGGGGTTTTGAGTACCAACTAGGGAAACAAAAAATTGACTCCCAACTTGGGTTGTGTGAGTACTACTTTAATGTTGCGTTTGGAGGCGTGGATTCGGTGCTCCCAAACATAATGTAAGGGTAAAAAAATAACATAAATTGCCAATAAAAGATTTAAAGGAAAAAGGAAGAATTCAAGCCTGTTCTCATATGTGTTTTCTTCCTCATCTCATACGTACCATATGAAAAAAAAAAAAAAAAAAAAAAAAAAGATAACACCTGCTGGACACGAGGACCAAATCATTATTTGAAATAAGACGGGGGCCAGAAAAAGGTGTAAATCTTTTGTCTTTTGAAATTTGTTTAGTTAACATGTTTTCTCATCCAGTTGGAAAAAAAAAAAAATGTATTTCACTAATAGATTGAACTGGTAACACTGTAACTACTAAGTTTTTGAAAAGCAATTAAAATTTATGCAATCAAATGTAGGAAACTGAAACTTGATATCTACAGGGAGATGCATAGATCTACTAGATTCAAATCACCAAGCCTCATTATACCGTCAAAAGTTTATTTCTAAATTAATTATCATTCCTATAACTTTCACTCTCAAAGCTATAGGCCAGGTACAAATTAACTTGTCACTCTCAAAGCTATAGGCCAGATACAAATAAGCATTTAAACAAGGCATATAACTTAATGAGAAACAAAAGCTACCATAACATTCTTGGTTCCATAGAGGTCTTTCCAAAAGCTTGACGAAGGCATAATAGTTCTTCTGTTTGCAGCTTGAACGGTATTATTGGGACTTCATTTGCACGTGGACATAACCAGGATTTCTCAATCGATTAACGATTCGGTGTGAATATCTGGCAGATCAGAACTTATGGAGAACTTAATCCATCTCTTTTTCTCAACATACTTGAGACAAGGCTGCATTACAAGCCCAATCACAACAGCAATAAGGCTTACAACCATGACTTTTAGTGAAGAAAGAGCCAAGACAATGCATATCAGTATTGTTGGAGGAACACACATTAGAATAGATCCAACTGTTCCCACCGGTATTTTGTAAGGCCGAGATGCAGCCGGGTATTTTATCCTTAACCGAATAAATGCTATGAACTCCAAAATCATTCCAAAACAATATAAGAAGTTTTCTGCAGCAACTATCTCTTGAAAGCTCAGCCATGAAAGCAAAAGCACACCAGAAGCTGAAAATAAGATCCCAATTAGAGGAGTTCCATAACGAGATCTCTTAGCAAAGAACTCAGGGAGCATCCCTCGTTCAGCCATACCAAGAAGTTGGAAAGAGTCACTGCTCATCTCAGCAACAAACATCCCCATATTTGACATTGCAGCAGCCGCTTGAACCCACCATCTCAACCATACGCCCCCAAGCATTTTAGCAATATCAGAAAAATAACCATCTGTCCACAACTCACGATTAAGTGGAATAGCTCCTGTGCCGGTTAGCAGAGGGAAGAAATACCCAAGAATAACTAGTATTAAAGCATAAAACAGTGCCTTTGGTAAAGTCCTCTTTGGGTTATCCACCTCTCCAGCAAGTGTACTAATTGAATCCCAATAGTTCAGATTCCAAAAGAGTGTATTCAGATACAAGTTCCAGTCAACGCTGTGTAGGTCTACCACCAACCACCTTGAAGGCCTCAACTTCGGTATTGCAATGAGGCCCATGACTGCAAAAGGAAGGATCGACAGGACCCCTAAAAGAACAGCAGCCCACCCCACAATGGTTAAACCCCTATAATTCATGTATGTGAGGATTGCAGTCAAAACCAACACTGCTATAACCCTCGGAAGGCCACCACCTACTGCAGGGATGCCAGATTTCAAATAGTCTAGAAATAAAACTGGGTAAAGTGCATTATCAATCACTCCACTCAGCCATTTCATCCAACCTTGCTGAAACCCCCAATAAGGACCCAAAGCAGACGAAACCCAAACCACATAGCCACCATTTTCTGGGAACATGGTACCCATCTCAGCAGTTATCAGAGCTTCGGGAACACTCCATATGAATGGAAAAACCAAGAACCCAAGAAGGGCTAGAAGGGGACCGGCTGCATTCACACTGTCCTCGACACCAAATGGTCCCCCCGATACCTCGTAGAAGATGAGAAATACAAGGGGTAAAACTGAGACTTTCCTAACATTATCTAACCTAGGGGGAGGAACTTCATTAATCCCCACATATTCTACACCATTGTATTCCCCCATTGTAACAGAAGCTTGCCTAGTGCCCGTGTTCCTCAATTTCTGCATTAATTATCAAATTCTCAACATAGAGACCATGGATTCTTTAAAAAATCAGGAAAATAGAGATTGAAGGGCAAACCAACACATTCTCTTAAGACTGAAACATAGAACTTTCACATAATTAACAAGTAATCGTCAAAGTAAAAAAAGGGTTTGTCAATTTAAACATTTAAATGAGCAATACACGGCAAAACATTATATGGGTTTGTCAGATTCCATAAAGATCCACGCAGAAAAATAAAAAGGGTCTCTTTCATATTACTATTAAATGCAGAAACAAACTTAACTGAATCAAAATAACATAAATCAAAATATCAACAATAACTCTGGAATTTTAAGCAATTACTATTTAAGAAGGAAAATTTGATGAAAAAAAGAATAGCAAATTGCAATTGAGAGAGGAGGAATAGACAAACCATGAGAGAAACGCAAGTATTTCTGGGGTTTGGAAACTATCCTCCGTCATTGAGAGCCGAACGTTGACTCAAATCCGAAGTTTTACGGCTCAGCGCTTAAACGTATAGATATGTATATAGAAAGTGAGAAGAAATTCGCAGCAGATAAGAGGGTATCTGGGTAGAGAGAGAGAGAGAGAGAGAGAGAGCAATCACAGTTCTCAACAATTGCTCAGCATGGGTCGTCTTCATTCCTCTGTGTGCGCGCGCGTGTCTCCAGACTAGCAGGACGTGGCAGATACCGATGCAACTAGAAAAAAGAGGAAATTTCTGTTGTTGGATCGGGTTGTGTTGGTTGGGTCCAAAAATCACACGAGTACACAAAAATAAAACAAACCATCAAAATGCCCAAGCCCAAAAGTGATGGAATTTGGCCCAATTTTCACTCCTCTGCATAACCAACCCTGCTGACATCTTTTAATGGTAAATTGGTAATTAATTGGTTTAGGGTTCCACAAATTTTTACACAATTAAAAGAGTTTCACAATTTCACCTGTAATCTTAAATTTAATCGTAATAAAATTAATTGATGAAAAAGATTTCACTTTATAAAATTAAATGACGAGATTCTGATGTATATATTAAGTTGTCTATTTTCTCTTTATGAATGTTCCAAATTAATTGTGCATTTGATAAGTTTTCAAAAATCTTTCTCTTTCAAAAGATTTCATAATTATTTTTAAAATTTTCAAAAATCTTACAATTTGCAACCATAAATATTTTATATTTAAAAATAGACCACTTAATAATTTTTAAAAGAGATAATACATTAATTATATATTTACTTAAAAATTTATAGTAATATCGAAGATAGACCTATGATATGGGATCGATAAAATAATATTTAGAGAAAAAATTCAAAAAGTCCCCATTTTGACCCGTCAAGACTCTCACAAGTTAAAAGGGAACAATCTTGTGTGAGACCCGACTGAAAAGCATCGGAATTATGTGATAAGGTGCTATCTTGAACAAATTTAAACTACAAATATTAGTTGACAATCTAAAGTGAAGCATGGGGAGACATTAATTCGAGTCTTGTTCATCACAAGATCTTACGTGGCCGGTCATTGTGCGTTGGTCATTATACCCACCGCCAAACAACATCCTGAGAATCTTTTCTTATTATGGGTTCTGGGAATCTTTTGGATAGAAAAACAAAATGTGTGGAAGCAATAATTAACTTTATTATATGCAAATTTGATTAGATGGGCGACGAAGAGTTAAAAACGAAGCAAAAGTAGATATAGTAGAATAGCACAATAATAAGTCTTGAATTGGCAACAATGATTACCACGGTTGTATTTTAGTCGCACTTTCTCAAAATTTTAAATTAATTAAAAATTGGAATTCAAGTCTATTTATAATAGCAAAAATGGGTATGTAAATTTAAACGAAAAAAAAAAATTTCAATGACCCTGACTTGTCATAGGTCATCCTCAATGTACCCAACAAAGTGTGGGACCATTTTCTTGACCCTTAAATGAATCAATTATTTGTGATAATGTTGGTTTTATAAAATATATGAAGACTAGTAATTATTGACTATGTATTTTTTTTATCATACCCCCACTCTTACTAAAATATTTAAGTTCATTCCATTATTTCTTTTTAATTCGATTATTTGTGATAATGTTGGTTTTATAAAATCTATGAAGACTTGTAATTATTGACTATGTATTTTTTTTATTATACCCCCACTCTTACTAAAATATTTAAGTTCATTCCATTATTTCTTTTTAATTTTTGACATGTGCCTTAAACTTGCATATCAACTGCATTTAAGTGTATTTTAATCATATAAAGATCACAAATATTTGTTTTTTTCAATATACTTAATTATCACATATGTTGTCTCTCATTACTATAAAAATAAGAGTAATAGGAGTATTATACAAGTTGAAAGTTTAGGACTACCGTACAACTATATTCATTGAACTCTTTGTAAGGATCTCTGTAATGTAAAATGAAAATATCCTAGTATCTGATTCTTAAAATATCAATGGGCCCTACCAGTTTCATCAAATTATCCTCTTATCTTACAACCGGTTCCACCTGATTAAAACTCTCACCCCAGTCAACGAACTTAGAGCACGTGGTTGCATTCTCAAGCAACATCTTTGACCTTACTGAATTATTTTCGGGCAGAAGACATACACATATTCATATATATATATATATATATATATAAACACACGCATATATATACACATACATACATACATACATTAAGCTGAAGTTAATTCATTTAGTGATATGAGAATTACCCGATCATTATCGTGGCCATCACAGTTTTGGTTCGGTGCGTCGTCTGTAAATGAACTTTTCACTGTTGTAGTAACACCAACGCCACCGCCGGAGACTCGATCAGGTACTCCTCCGGTGGTGGAAACTTCTCCTGATGCGTGTATTTCGGAATCTGGGCCGTTGGTTTCTATTCCTCTTGGCACCATCACTATCACAACTTTGAGGAACAAACAATAATACTTCACGCATACTAGCTACATGTGTATGTGTGTGGCCACTGTGAGAGAGAGATGCAGAGTTTTAGAGAGAGAATTTTCTTTTTTACTTGACTTTTGAGGGATAAGGGAGGAGATCAGGTATATGATGCAAGTTGCAAGACTAGTTAGCAGATGATGTGATTGGCAAGTAAGATGAAGCCAGGAGTTAATTTGTTTTGCTTCTATTTTATATATATTCCACATACTTTCAATATATATATATATATATATATATATATATATATACACACACACACAGACGAAGTTGGGAAGACAAAAAAATAAAAATATAAAAAATGTTAGGACAATTATATATAGTATTTGCAACGTATGGGCAAAGCGCAGCGGATAAGAAGGCGTCTTGAATTGATGAGAGGGATATATAATTATACATATATAGAGATAGAGAGAGAGAAAACGGTAAGCACTTTATATATTATTACAAAGGTTCTGAATAACAAGTCAAATAAAATTATTTAAAATTAACATATTTATTCGAGTAGTATCATTTAGTGATTGTATGGAATCATGAAACATTAATTTATTTTAATAAAATATATATGAAAACAGAAGTTAATTATTGTTTTTAAACCCTAAGAATGATCAAGTTTGGTCTAAATTTGGCAACTTCAAACAACCAACCCACGTGACCTCTTTTAGTGGGCATCAATTATCAATTCATTTTGTTGTTCTCAATACGAGTTAGATAAAGGTAAGTTTGAGAAATATTTTAATTAAAAAAAATAAAGGAAGAGAGAAGAAATAAATAGACCTATAAGAATGCATATGACCACGTGTCGTCACATTGTTACTATTTTAATCATGTCATACAATTCATATGCTTCGAAACTTGTGGAGTTGGCATAAATATTGTGACGTTTTTGCTGAATGTCCTCGAATTTTATATCTCCACGCAACTAATGTGATCTTTCTTACTCGTTTCAACTTAATAATTATATATATATATAATTTTTTCTTATTATTTTTTAAGAATAAATTACATTGACATTTCATTTAATTAAGAAAAACTACGAAATTTTTCATATTAGTCTAATTTTTGTGGTTTCAGGTTTGATGGATAATGCATTCTCCTTCTACAAAGAGTAATCCACGTTAACAATTTGCTTATTTCAATAAAGTAAAGTTGTAATTACAATTTCCATTAATACGACAAAGTCTTATATAAAAGAATGAATGTAACTTTTAAATAGATTTGGGGAACTCTGTCTAATTATATGAGAAGTCAAAATAATTTTTAAATTGGTTAGTTCTTTCTGGTTTTATTATTTCAATTGTTTTAAGGAACATGTTAGTGGCACTCCACTTCTCTATATCCATAAACAATATGACAAATATAACTTTAATACAGGTATATAAATTTAGTACTAACCTATTTCTAAAAATTGAAACTTCACAATAGGTTTCTCTTTTTTCTCTCCTCTGTATGGAGGACTCTCTCAAGTCTCAACTTACTCTCTTCTCTCTCTCTCTATGGGACTTCCTATATTATTTGGTTTACATATAATAAATGAATAAAGAGTTAGTGTTATAATTACCAAAAAAAAAATCAGTGTTGTATATATAATTTCGGTAAACTGTTGCCACTTAACCTTTCCTTGTCAAAATTTAGGATTAGATTAGATATAAAAAAGGGAACTGCATGAACATCACAATAAGATTAAGAGTATTTAACCTTCATAAGAACACTAATTGAGCATCGATTTTCAAGACGACACAATGTTTGATTCCAAATTTTTCAATCCCATAAATGCCCTTTTTTTTATTTACATACGCCCTTTGTCACACGTTTTCCTTCTACCAACTAGTACCAAGATAAAACAAAGAACGGGAGTACTAAAGTCGCTGTGGAATCACAAACTTAATTTTAACAACTTGCAAAATTGATGTGCAATAAGATAAGAAAATTTGGAATATTATAAAATCAAATTGAAGAAATCAAGATCAAATTAGATGGAAATTAAATAAATTCGCTTGAATTTCTCTTCCCCCACGAGAGGCCTGGCCGATTGAGTCGTGGCTTTGGCCGTAAAAGGGAGAATTCAGTAGAGAAAGGCATTCTTATAAATCGACTCATATAATTAAATATAATCAGTTCCTTAAAAAATAATGATACTCAAAGATAACGGGGATTTATTTACAACAAGTATATTAGTACAATACTTAGCAAAAAGGAATCAGTTGCATATATATATATATATATATATATATATATATATATATATATTTGCTAAATTTGAAAATGCTTTATTTGTTAAATTTGAAAAATGTGGAGGATTTTTTAAATACTAGAGGGATTATTGCACATTTGCTATATAACCGGAATTTTTTTTTTTTTTTTTTTTTTTTTTGCACTTTAAATGCAAAAATTCATTTGTCCTGCTAAAGATAGTATGACAATTCAAAAAGTACAACTAATTTTTAAATAAGATGATTGAACTATTTATTTTTTCTTAGGCTTCATTTGGTCAGATAGAATAACCAAAAAATAAAAGAAAAGAAATAAAAAATGAAAAGTTCCTGAAAAATTAAGATTATCGTACATGAAAGCAACATCTTTTTATTTTGTATTCTCATTTTATCCAACAATTTCATTGCATTATTTTACACAATTTTATTGTATTTTTTTTTTACTGAGTTTCAAAGAATTGCAATCCAACACCAACTTTATCATTGATACGATTTTAATTAACTTGACTTTCATTTTTAGTTATTTTTCATCATATGGTAGTGAAATAAATAGTAAATTACAAGGTCTAAATTAACTGAAAACTTCAAAAAAAAAATTTATATACATACTACTAATTATTTTTTTATTATTTTATCATTTTTATATGCACGATATTTTCTTACAATTTTTTTTGATAAATTTATCATAACTAAAATACATAGTATATACTAAAAAATCAAAAAAAAAAAAATTCATTTACTTCACTCTTTTTTTCCTTCATTTTCTTTATTTTTTTATTATTTCCACCTAAGTAAACGAAACCCTATAGAATAGAGGTTTACGTGCGTATCGCGATAAAATTTAATACTGTATTATTTGTCTAAGGAAAAGTCAAAAGTGAAGCAATTTGACTATGAAAAAATAAATAAAAGTGTTTGAATTGGCACACATAATTTTCAATGGTCCATTGCGTGTTATTGGTCATGGTCGATGCACCCACCACATGGTGGGACCCGTGAGAAAAATAGATGTTATAATCGTAATGATGCTGATCTTTTTGACAAATTATTTTAGTCACAAGTATGAATCCAACTCATAAATACTATTAAAATTGAATTTAAAGCTTATTTGTGGACGTAGTTTAAGACATCAATTCATCAAATATGGTCAGGAACATATATATATATATATATATATATATATATCAAATATGGTACAATCTCAATATTTCTGCGTATCGTAACAAATACAAACCATTGCTTAAGGAACTTGAACTAAGCTTTTAATCATTCGGTTTCTTCTACATTTGATAAAAATTAAAAATTAAGTATAAAGAAGTTTAATATCAATTTTAAGTATTGAAATTAGGTAAATTACATTAATTTTTTTGAAATTTTCATCAATGTATTTGTTTTGTCAAATTAGACCGATATCTCCTATAAAAATTGCAAAATTTATAATTGAATTTATATGATTATATCCTTATATATTGTATATTTATTACAATAAACATGCCTCTTAAAAAGGGTAGAATTGAAATTTGAAAGTTATAAAAATTGATATTAGCACTTTTTGGACCATATGTATTATTTAGGATAAATTACAATGGCACCCTCTACGATTTACCTTATTGACAACGAAAAACAATTTAGGGTTAATTTCATTGGCACCCCCTCAGGTTTGGCCAAATATCACTCTCAAACATTTTTCAAAAATAACTATCACTCACATTATAAACTTTTGCTCCGTTTTTCACTCACATTCCAACCGTTAATTACACAGTTCTGACACAATATAAAATGACTGAAATATCTTTTGACTTTGTCAAAATGACTCTTTAGTCTAAGGAATTAGATGAAAAGACTAAAATATCCCTAAATATTATGTAAATTTACGAATTATTTTATACTATATCTTTATTGTTTCATATGTTTTGTGTGTGTGTGTGTGTGTGTGTGGCGGCCGATGATCTCAAGGATTTCTCAATTGACCGTTAGTACACAAGAAAGAAATAAGACGGCTCAAAGCTTGGACTACATGTTGGAAATTTTACATATAAATAATAAAAATTATTTTATGATCCTATACACTACGTTTTCTAAAATAGGATTGCAATGTGATTATTGATACTTAATGGATTGGCTTGTACTTTCCAATTTGGTGGTCTAATTGGGAGTATGACTTTATACAGTTTGATTGTAGTTTTCCAATTTATTTGGTATGATTTAATTCTAAGCATTTATATCTAAGTTTCCATGATAGGAAGGGAGACTTGGGTATGTTTATTTGTAGAGAAGTTGTCCCCTCTGTTGTTATTATATATAAAGGTTTTAAACCCTTATTCAGCCATATTGAAGAACAACTTTCAGAAGGGGGTAAAGCACTATAATGTTTTGCAGGATCACAAAAGAATTATAAGGTTATCCTCCAAAATCTAAAGGTATACGTGCATTAATCATCAATCAGGTACAAGACTAAATTATCGCTTTAATTAATTATAGTACTCTTGATTTTTATATGTAAATTATATAATTAAAACCCAACAATAGGTATCAGAGCCAAGTTAGAGTTAGGGTTTTAATTTTCGATATAAATCAAGATTAAAGATTTAAATATATACTATATATATTTGAACTTGAGTGAATTAAAGAGAATTTGCGTAGTATGGTAATTGGGTATTGCACCG